GGAGGGGAGGAGAGAGAGAGAAAGAAAGAAAGGAAAGAAAGGAAGGAAGGAAGAAAGGAAGGAAGGAAGAAAAGAAAGGAAGGAAGAAAAGAAAGAAAGAAAGGAAGGGACCCGGCCTGGCTTAACCTCCAGCACCTACAGCTCCGATGTGATGTGAAGAAGGTACGGTGTGTGGCCGGGCTGCCCAGCACATCATGGGGCTGGCTGCATATAATGACAGTGTCCCAGAGCTGGCGCTTGTGTAACAGGCGGATTTACTGAGAGGGGACGACTGTTTGCTCAGCAGCCGAGAAGTCTATAATTAGACTGTCACAACATCAGCAAAAGTACAGGATCAATGTAATCAGAGAAGAAATGGAAAAGAACACGGCATCGGTCAAAGTCTCCAGTGGGTCCCCGTGGTTTCCGGAGCGCTAATCGCCCCGGCGGTTCAACGTCCCGCTTGTAGGTTTCCTCCTGGTGATGAGCAGGTTGGGTGGGGCCTGTCCTGACTGCCCTCGTCCCACCCAGCTCTGCCTCCTCTCCCCCTTTCCCCTTCCTCTGCTCACTCAGGCTTAGGGATGAGAGTCCCAAGGAGGAGGGACCTGCGCCCCAGACCCAGAGGCCAAGGCACCGCCAGTCCTCATGACGTGCATGTGTGTGGGAGTGGAGGAGGGCCAGCTACTTTTAAATGCAGATCCCTGGCCCTACTGGGTCGGCGCCTAAGAATCTGCACTTGGTACATCCTCAGGGGACTCTGTGCAGGCCGAAGCTCTAAGAGCACCAGGCTGAGCCATCCTCCTGCCCCACGGCCAACACTCCCTCTCGCTTCTGCTCTGACACCGGCATGGCTACCGCACAGTCAGGATGGCAGCAAGACTGGGGACAGCCACAGTGAAAGGGCCAAAGCCAAGGAATGATAATGGGCCTCTTATTTTCTTTTTAATCACATTAAGAACTCCAAGCTGCAGACGCCTTTATCCCGTTAATCCTCGTGACATCTGATCTAGGGGGTATGGCCAGTGTCTTTAGTTTCTTTCCACGAAGTAGATCTGGGCCCAGATCTGCCTGTGAAGGATCTGGATCTGAGGACTTCTAGTCTCCCTGAGCCTGATCCTCCTAGACAGGAATCACTAGATTTCCTAAATCTGTGGATTTTTACTCTATTTCTTACACAATTTTTAACACAAACAAGTTGCAGTGGATAAACAATCAGAAAGTTCAGAGAAAGAAATAAATCCAGGATCTCACAGCTGAGGCTTTGGCGTTTACCCTTCCACACTCGTGCAAGTGTGTAGGTACACACTCACACACACGTGTTCTAAGCAGACGGCACACTCGCACATGGCAATGAGGAGCGCTTGGTGTAGGAACCATTTACCTAGCTGTGGGCAAGGTCCAGCGAAAGCGTAACGGGATGGGCAGCCCTGAAGGGCGAGCGGCAGGCAGCGAGCCATTTCCACCCTACGCCTGAAGGGATAAGAGGAGGCGGCTCCCAGGACCTGGGGAGCCTCGCTGCAGCTAAGAGAGGGCTGCCTAACAGGAGCGGCAGCCTCTGGTTGAAAAGCAGTCAGCTCCCCGGAGGGAGGGAGCCGGAGGGAATCTGCCTGAGCCTGACTGCTGTTCCTCTCTTGCCCCCCCAGAGTCGGAAGGCGGGTGGGTACACTGGCTAGAAGGCAGCCTCCCTGAGACACAGAGCGGGGAGTTAGGATGGAGAGGGGGTCTGTAGGGGCCAATAGAGACTGTCTGACATTGTTTCCTGAGTGCATTTTTGAACACACTGATTGGTTTGGAATTTCTAGAATTCCAGATCTAGAAAATGCAGTGTTCCAAGTTAATTCTCTCCTTGATGACAACAGTAGATGAGTTAACTGCTACCTTGTGCTGTTGCCCCCAACACCATGAGTTAGGAGCCCAGGCTGCTGGCTCTGACTTCTCTGTTTGCTCATCTGAGGCAGAATCAGCTCTTCAGGTATTCAGCCAACTTGGCCTCCTCCATGATGTAAGACACGGCCCTGGGGACCACAGACACTGGCTGCCAGGAACTTACAACCTCATGGTGGGCTTCAGAGCACAGCACAGTATCCATTAACCAGGCGGATGGGCAAGCCCATGAGGAAGGCACCAAGGTCTACACTCACAGTGGTGGGTTAGTCATAAAAGCTAATATTTTAGCCCAACAGTAATTAATATTCATTAATAACAGGTAATGTTTACTATATACTGGTCTGTTCTAAGTGCTTTATAGGTACTTATATTATTTAATCTCCCAACAGTGCCAGGAGGTAGGTTGTATTATTAGCTCCATTTTCTAGCTGAAGAAACAGGCATGGAAAAGTTAAATAACTTACACAGAAACTGAAGCATGGAAAGATGAAATGGTGAAGCCAGAGTTTGAACCCAGGCAGTCTGATTCAAAACCCCATTTTCTCAAAAATCTATGTTCTATTCCCGTGAGTCTGGGATCAAAATTATTTTGATAATAATACTAAGTCATCATTTGCCTTTTGAATTCTCATTCTCTCACAAGCACACAGGGAAGCTTCCAGAGGCTGCATGACATGTGAGGACATCACTCAGGCTATTGGAATGTGTGCTGTGTGTTCTGTGTTTTAAATTTTCTCGGTGTGAACTTCTAATACAGTAAATGCCAATAGATACACACAGAAAAGCTTTCCAGGGTCCTCCAGGAGGTCTGTAAAAGGGGTCTTAAGACACCAAATTTTGAGAACCACTGCACCACTCTGTTCCTTTGGGGTTCAGAGGAGGGGATCCCATTGGATTATGAGATCCAATTTATGATCACTAGTTTCCTCGCCTAAATCATAGAGCAATGTAAAGCAGATTCTACACTAGAAAATTACAGAGCCCCAAAGAACCCAGAAAGGTCAATAGCTCACTTTCTTGGTTTGGGGATGATGGCTCCAGGTGGGCTGCAGGCTTCCCACCCCCTGGCTGCATCATGGGCCTGCCGATGGCCAGGGTGGGCTGCTTGGGGATGGTGCAGGACCCCTGGGCAAAGTCTAGGTCACATCAGGGTTTGCAGTTCTCCAGGAGAAGTGAGAGTCTCTGGTTTCAAGATCACAGCAGTAATATCTGTCATCTCATTTGGGAGGGAGAGTGGAAGTTTGAGGCTTCGTGATTTTCAGTAGAAGGATATCATTTTAATTCTCTGTCAAGATATATAAAACATGATTCAATGTGCCTTAATCTTTTCAGTCTATGAAATGGAGAGTAATTACTTCTTAATTAGTGAATATTGGGAATTATAGCAAATGAATTTTAGCCAATCGTGGGAAAAGACTATAATCTAACACTAGGGATGGCATAAAATAATTGCTATTCTTTACTTGAAAGTGAAGATATAATAGAAAAATGTACATAGTGGGAATTCTTGGCCAGTGTGCAGCACCCATGTCTCCTTCCCTGACTGGGGAGCCGCCATGTTGCTTGGGTAGAATTGATATGGACACCCCAGTGTCCTATTGATGGGCCTAAGCCCATTAGTGTAATTCCATCCCTTGCCCTTGATCAGCTGGGATAAGAAGTTCTCTCAAGCTTATGTTCAGTGGTTGGAGGAAGGAAAGCCACAAATGCTCAACTTTCTGGAGAGGATGATGTGGAGATGTGAGTCCTGGGATGGTTGTTGGCATTTTGCTGCCACAAGAGAGGCCAAGGTGTGATGAAGTCTACACACCAGCAAGGGCAGTGCCAAAGACTCAGGGACAAACAATCCAGAAGACCACCCCACCATGGAACTCCTCTCTTCCAGAAGCCCAGGACTCCCTGTGTTTAAGCAAATTGAACTGTATTTTCTAAATACTTAACAATCAGAGCATCTGATATAATTAAACAACTTTTTTCCAACTCAAATACTATCAGATAGAAAAAAGTGAAACTGTCATGTTGACCAAAGAGTGTCAAATCTGACAATTTAAGGACAATCCTGATTTTCTATCACCTTCCCTCAAGCCAACCTTCCAAACCTTCATGGTCCCAAAGTCCCTTGGCCCCACCTTCCATGTAGGCATTTCCTATACTAGTTTTGCTTTCCAAATAAAATTTTCCTTCCCTCTTTTATTGCATAGTGACCACACACCAGATACTTCAGCCTCAACAGTGGAAGCCCCTCCAGTGTGAAGGAACACGGGGGGCCTGGAAGGACAGCACCAAGTGCATCGCGACGATCAGTTAAGCCGACTCGAGTTCCACCTCTCTGCGGCAGAACAAAGGCAGCAGGGTGGGGGCCAGGACCCATCTGATGGTTAGAAGGATGGGCTCCCAGCTCTGACTAGCTGGGTTCGAGTCCCAGCTCTGCCTGTCTCTCCGGGAGAGTTATCTGACCTCGCCGCTAAGCCTCAGCTTCCTTATCTCAAGATAACAAGATGGTGATAATAAGGGGACCTCTCACCTCTGAGTGTTGCGAGGATTAAATGAGCTAATGAATGCACCGTGCGTTTGCAGGGCAAACAGAACTTTTTCCAAAAGTGTCAGAGACAGTCCAGGAGACCTCCCCTCGCTGGGACTCAGTTTCCTCTCCTGACAAAGGAGGACCTGCTGGCCTTGGCAGAGAGAGGAGCTGAGGGATCTTTCATTGAGCAGCAAGGGCAGAGCTCTCCTGCACAGGGTGGCCTCCCTGCCCTTGGAAATGATGCAGGGGCCACCTGTCAGGTGACCTCTAGGGCCTTCAGGGACCCGTGTTTATTTGGTTTTGGTTTTGGTTTAAATGTAACCACTGCAGCAGACAGAAACAGGACCACGCATGCTGGTCCTCACATACACGGCACATCAGGACTGGATGTGCAGAGAGCGTGGGTTTGAGGTTCTAAAATCCTGCATCAGCATCATGCCTCCTGCTGGGCCAGTGGGGCTCATCTGTAAATGGGGCTTGTCCTCCCCGTCTCCCAGAGGGCCCGTGAAGATGACAGAAAATTAACCCATGGGCCGTGGGAACGTGCCTGTCACATCTGGGTGCCTCGTCAATACTGTCCCCTTCCTCCTTCTGGAGCCTGAGGCCACCAGCCCCCACTGCAGTGAGGAAGAGAGCTGGAGAGAGAGCCCCTGAGGATGCAAGTGAATAAGCTCTCTCACTACACTTGAGCTGGAAGGCTGCTGGGGTCCGGGGGAGACCGGCTTCTCCACTGAGACCCTAGATGGGACAGCGCCCGGGACCCAGGGAGCTAGCACATCATGGCAGCCCTAGGGACCCATTTTCCTAATGGCCCTCTCAGCGATGTAGCGATGCTTTCTGTTAGCTTGTGAGACTTGGCGACCCTTTTCTCTAGAGCTCCCCACCCCTAGCTTCCCAAGGCCTCTGCTATCTAAGATCCAAAGTCCCAGAGGAAGACTCTGAGGGGGAGGTTGGCACCAGCGACTCTGTGTGGGCCCCTTCTCTCTGGTGGCTTCCAGGCTGGCCTCCCCGGGCCAGGTGCTCTCAGCCGAGGTCCCAGGGATGGGATCACAGGGCACAGGTGCTCAAGGGACAGCAGAGGTGGGCCAAGAGCCTGAAGCTGCACAGCTGGATGGGGCCGTCAGCTTCAGGGACAGCGGCGTCAGACGTGGGCTTCTTCCCAGGGCTGTGTCCACCCTCCTTTCTCATTGTCTTGTTCCGGGCAGCTCCACCCCAGGCCAAGCTCCCAAAGCTCAAGGGCTTGTGCTGTTCGAGCCTGGAGCTGTCATGGCCTGTCTCCCAAAGGGCTTGTTTCCGTATGAAAGAGTCATCACAGGTCTGGTGCTTGCAGGTGGTACTGAGGTTTGGTAGCCACGTCAGACCTAACAATACGTACCAATGAGCAGAGGGTGAGATGCTGCTGTGGCCCGGCCTGCGGGGAGCAGGCTTCCTGTGTTTAGCAGTCTGTTTCTGAGCTGTCTTGTTTACAATCACATCCACCCTGGTGTGGTGACACCTGTCCCTCATTCTTGCTGCTGGGGGCTGGGAGGCGTGAATAACTGACAGTCACAGCCCCGCGGAATCATCCCCAGTCACCGCGACCCAGAAGATGCTCCGGTTGTTGTACTGAATCAGCAGGGAGGACTGTCCCCGTACTGGGGACAAGGCTGCCCCCTGTGAGGAGAGGGGCCCAGGGCAGGCTGGGATCGGACCTGGTGCCAGTCACCTGAGGAGAAGGTGTGCCTCTCACATTAGAAACAGCTGAGCTCCCAGGAGGATGCCTACCCCTGGAGTCTTGACCTGAAGTCCCATCTGTGGGTGTTAACTTTCCTCCTTCATTTAGGACCTTGTTCTTCAAACTTTGAGACCATTGGAACACCTCGGGTACTTGTTAAAAAGGCAGGTTCCCATGGCCCCAACCCCAGAGGCTCTGAACCTACAGCTCTGAGGTGGGACTCAGGGGTCTTTTATTTCGACAAGCCCCCCTCCAAGTAGTTGCTCCAGATGACCGAGGACCATATCTAAGGAAATCTGGTCTAAGAGGAAGGTTTTGGCATCAGGTACACTTGGATTCGCAATCTGGCTCTGCCACTTGCTGGCTGTGTGGCTTTTGGCAAGCCCTTTCATGTCTTTGTGCCTCAGTTTTCTCTTCTGAGAAATGGGAACAATAATATGAACCTCACTGGGGCATTAGGAAGAATAAATGAAATAAATAAGGTGCTGCTCTCAATGCCTGGGAAGGATAGGCAAGGATGACGGAGCCTGAGTGAAAACTCACTTGCAGAACCGGGCTTGTCAAGAGAGACGCTGCCAAAACAAAAGGTCATTCTCGTGTCCTGAAGACACACTGGTGTTGGCTGCTGCATTCAGAGTCCCCACTGATAAACAAAATAATCCTAATGCACCCTCACCTCAGGCACACTCCCACCCTCCTCCTTTCTCTTTCAACTGGACCAGCCCTCTGCCTGGAAGTCCCCGTGCTCCACTGCCTGTTCCACAAAGGGCTTGTCCCTGCGCGACCCCCACAGTCCACAGAACACCTGTCAGCAGGGCGTCTGTGCTCGCTGCTGACATCACAATGGTACGGCCGCCCCAGGCACCACCCTGAGTACTCTTAGGTCTTAGACTTCTGGTTTTTCAAGTAGTATTCCAAGAACAGGTATCCAGCCTTCGGAAAAATATGATATTTTTGTGTGGTCAAATATGTGGGCTCACTGAGAGAGCAGACGAATCCGTTCTTTGGCTGATCCTGTATACATGAATATTTGAGAATTGTTACTTTATACAGAGGGTCTGGCAACTCCCAAACTCTGCTAAATTTAACGTTCAAGGGTTAGAATGTTACATTAAAATCTTCCAAAGCTCTGTTGTCCTTGTTGTGAATAATGATTATCATTGTAGCTGAGAACCCCCTAAATAGCATGTCTAATCATTAGAATTCAGGGTCAGCCGGCTTCTACCTCATTAATCTTAAAGCCCTGGCAGACATCCAAGAATTGTGTCTACCCCACACAAAACCAGCCGGGGACCTGGCTGGGGAGGGTTCAGAGACCTGGGTTCCAGTCTTGACTCTCTTGACCTTGCTGTGTGACCTTGGGCAGGCTGTTTCAGAGCTTTGGGGTTCTCATCCACACAGCGGTGGGTGGGGGTGGTCATCCCTGTCTCACGCCCTTCTAGCCTAGAGTCCGTGTGTCTGGGTGAGCTGGCCTTCACGTTTCCGCAGAATGACGCTTGGTCTCGGTTCTAGTTTAACAGGCCAGAGGGCGGTTAGAACCCATCCTCGCTGCCAACGATCCACTACAAAATACATTTCTGTTTGTTTTGCACTGAACAAATTCCCCAGGGCAGCCATCCGAGCGGAGCAGAGTCGGTGGTAATGGAGAAAGCCCAAGATGAGGACGTAGTTTCCAGCATCAAGAGCATTAGCCAAGCCTTCCTGACGCCAGGGCCGGGAGAGGAAGAGTGGACAGCTCCCCCAGGCACCCACTCTGTTGGCCTGACCTGGGCCTCTGGCCACCGTACTGGCAGAGTCCCTGCTTCTCCAGCATCGTATAGAGGAGACTCGGCTCTGAGGGGGTGGCCGCGCAGCCCCGGGTCCCTGCCACCCACCACACCCCTGCCTTGTGGTGCATGTCCAGGACAGCAAGGCCAGCTTCTCCAGGACGGCACTTGGTAACATCAGCCAGAGGGTGAGGGCTCAGTGTGGCTTGTCCCTCCATCCATCAGGCTTCGGTGGGACCCTGGTCACACTGAGGAAGGAGAGGCGGGGGTGGGGAGCAAAGCTGGCCTGCCTCTTCTGTTGGGTTTGCCCCATCTCACACTCGTCCTCGCTCCTGTTTGCCCCTGGCTGGGTCTGGCCCTAAGCTGCAGAGAAGTAGCAGCTGGAAAGGGGGAGAGGCTGCCGGAGCAGTGGTAGCCATGTTTACAACAGTGGTCTCCAGTTATCTCGTGCTCTGGGAACTGTACCAAGGGCTCTTTCCGGGAGGTAGGGTCTGTTTTTTCACATGGACAAACTGAGACAAGGGAGATTAAATGACACGTCAGAGCCCAGGGCTAGTAAACCAGGAGAAAGGACTTGAAGAGCTGGCCACTACTGAAGAGCAACGCCTTTCTAGAGTTGTCGAGGGCAGGGCGTCCTCCAGATACCTCCTGTGCAGCTCGGGCACCCCCACCCCACCCCCGGAGCTTGCTACCTGGAGGGAAGCAGACTTCTCCTTTGAGAAGTTTCCACGACCGCCCCAGTGTGACCACGTTCATTCTTTTGCTCCTGAGAGACTTGAGTGCCGCAGTCTTGGCTGGAAGCTGCAGGCAGGGGACACAGCCTCTGTCCTCTTAGAAGCAGCTTTGTAAATGCTCCCCAGGCCACCAACAAGGGGACTGTTAGAAACATCATTTCTTGAACCCACCTCACACCTTCTAAATCAGAATCTTAAGCAGCCAGAGGGTCCCTTTGGGAAGCCTTAGAGTGGGGAACACGAGCTTCAGGGTGGAAAGACGGGCTCTGCCACTCAGCCGGCCACACAACCCTCAGAACTTTTGTTTCCTCTGTAAAATGCGGGTCGTGATGGCTATCTCATGCCTCCCCCCACAGCTCCATCATGCGGGTGGAATGGGATCGCGACTGTGACAGCTTTTTCATGCCCTGTAATAACCTTTCTGAACTTTCAAACTAAGGGCTCCACATGCATTATCTGCATTTTTTAGATACACAAAAGGGAGTGCAGAGAAGCTCAAGAACGGCCCAGGAACCTGCTGTTCAGAGGCAGCAGGCCCAGGCTTGCTCTTGGCCCCGTCTGAGTCAGAATTGTCGCCTCCCTTTCCCTTTCATAGACTGAAGAGACAAGGGCACCTTGCTATCATGTTTTATAAACCTTGACAGAGGATTAAAGTGACACCCTTCTGCTGAAAGCACAAAGCCTCAAACTTCCACTCTCCCTCACAAATGAGATGACAAATATTATTGGTGTCATACAAATGCAACATAATGGTGATTCCAGACCCACGGCGAGGCCAGCCCCGCATTCCAGAAACCAGGGTGGAGAGGAGATGCTCCGCAGGAGTGTGACAGCCGCTCCCCTCAGAACTGAGCCTGACAAACGTCTCCTGCTGCTGGAACCTGCCACCTCGGTCACTGAGGAGGCGGGGCGGGGGGGGGCTGTGCCATGGCTCTGCCTGCAGACGGGGAGCACCAGGTGGCTCGAGTCTTCAGTCAACCCTGAGTCCATGCTCTGGGCTGTGGCTTCAACTGCCGCCTCCATCCCACGTTTGGTCGGAAGCATCGCCAAGGAGCAGGGAGACATGGAATCAAAATGGCAGCACCCACTGACAACCTGCTGCCCAGCTCCTCACAGCTGAGTCAAGCTCACCACTACTAGGCCTTCAGCCATGCCGTCCCCCCCCATACTGGGGGCCTTAGCGACCTTCCCGAGAACCCAGACAGGGGCCAGGGTGTTCAGACCCTCCTGGGAACCCCATTCTGCTCTTGTGCTTATATTTTCAAGTACCAGTCCTTCCAGGTCCTACTTTGTAATTAACACGTTATTATTTTGTAATAATGTTAGTTACAAAGGAGTTGTTACTATTTGCCGGGCATCGTGTGGCGCCTCTGCTTGCGTTACCATAGGGAACCATCACAACTAGGACACTGTCATCCCCATGGAACAGACGAGGAAGCAGGAGCAGAGACAGGAAGCGATTAGCCATGTTCAGTGAGCTGGTAAGTGGCAGGGGGGGAAGTGAGCCAGGGCTGCTGGGCGCCCACGCCACACAGACACGGCCACGGTCCTGGGCTCCTGGTCTGATACTCGGCTCCCATGCAGACTGCCCTCCTAGAGATCAGGGTGCGGGCCCCGTGCAGAGACCCCGAGACCCCACGTCCCCACCTGCCCGGACTCCACTCCTTCTCCCTTCCCCTGGACCCCCACTCTGTCCATTCCCACGGCCCCGCCCAGCTCGCCTGCCTCCTCAGCTGGGCCCCACTATTTCCAAAGCCTCCCAACCTGTCTCCCAGCATCCAGCTTTCTCAGCTTCAATCCGACCTCTGGTGGCTGCCAAAGGACTCCTCCTGAATCATTCCTGCTCCTTCCTCAGCAGGACATTCCAGCCCCAGCCTCAGGTGATGGAGTCAGGTCCAGACTTCGGTCTGGCATCCCAGGCCTCACATTCTGACCTGAACCCACTCCCGCCACTGCCCCCTTCAGTCCGGCTGTGTCTGCCTCCTTCCTGCGCCTCACCTCTGATTTCTCCCTTCAGTCACACTGATGCATAGATCGCTCACTTAGCCGCTCAACAATATCTACTGAACACCTGCACATGCGGAGCATCGTTCAGGCACTGTGGGGGTCAAAATGCCCAGCTCCTGTCACATGGATCTTGCAGCTTTGTTAAGGAGACAGAGTTTGGTGTCTTTGAGGAGCTGAGAAACCCAGGTGGTGGTGCAGGGGACTCTGGGATGCGAGGCTTGAGAGACAGTGGAAGAAGGCAGCAGGGCCTGGGTCAGTCAGGTGCCTCCAGGCCACACAGAAAGCTCCACGTGACTCCTGGTACCAAAGGAAAGCACGGGAGGGTTTTAAGCAAAGTGTGACATGATCCAGTTTCACAAATACTGCTGTTATTGTCGAACCATTCCTGGGCTCCACCAGATGGTGCACACCTGCTTCTCTCCTCTCTGCATCTGCAGGGGCCGGGCCGTGGGAGGGGAGCAGGGCTGACAGTGGGGTGCCGCGGTGTTGAGGGTGGACACCCCGCAGTGTCCCTTCGATCGTCAGCCCCACAGAGCAGCAGTGTGGTGATGACACACGGAAAACAGTGCAGGACAAACCACACGCCAGGACCAATCCCTGTGACAGGAATAAGAGGCCCCCTGGAAAAGAAAGATGATTGAAGGAAATGGAGGAGGAGCTGGAGTGGTCGAGCGGGCACTGGAGTAGGAAGTGGGTGGAACTGGCCTGGAGGACTCCGGACGGGGTGAAGGGGCACCTGTGGGGAGCCGCCCCTTGGAGGTGTGGTGTGAGTGGAGCAAGAGAATGGTGAGCGAGTCTTCAGCGGGACAGGCAGTGCCACTCCTGATCTGTGAGCTGGGGTCGGGGTCTGATGCGGTGGGGGTGCTGTTAGATGGCTGGAGGGTCCACGAGTGCCCCCCCACACACCGCACACCGAACACAGCGGCCGCTGGCTGTTCCTCGTCCGCTGGTTGCCATGCTTTGGGTTACATGACCATGCAGCTCTGGCCACATGTAACCCAGTGGTCTGGGCTTGGCACCTGATCCCAGGAGAGCCATCATGGGCTGGTCATGAGGGCACAGGAGACCTGTGAGGCTGCCTAGCAGGGGCTCTCTGCCGGAAAGAAAGAACTGCCCCAACGGGGTGACCTCAGGGAGCTTGATAGTGGCCACTCGGAGATGGCTCCAGCCGGCAGAGTGTGGCAGAGCTGAGAGACCCCAAGGGGGATGGCAGCAAGCAGAAGCCACAAAGGTCTGACAGCATGAGCCAGCAGAGCATATGAGACGGAGAGGGGAGGAAGCCTGGGGGTAGCAGCCATGGGAGCGGCAGCCAAGGAAAACCCGAGTCGCAAGGATGAAGAAGACGCAGGAGCAGGGAAGAGATGATGCAGCCTCCGAGGGACCACAGACCGCAGTGCTGAGTGGGGAGGAGCCAAGAGGCAGTTCTCCACAAAGCCGGCTGCGGCAGCCCCAGCTCGTTCCCGCTCACAGCCTCTGCCAGCCACGTCCGCGGCTGCCCGCGTACCTCTGGCTCTTGGCACCCCAAAAGCACCAAACACAGGACAAAGCCGCCACGAGCCTGCTGGGGGTGGGTGCTGCAGAGGCAGCTGCTCCAAGGCTTCTGTGACGACTACCCGGAACGAC